TCTCAGTTTTTCAAGATTATTTCTTTGATTTTTTGTCACATGATACTCTAACTGCTTTTTTGCACGTTTCATTGGGAACTTTTTTCAGAACAGTAGACTTCATTTGGCAAAGACATTTTCGTTTAACTATGAGAAACAACATAATTGGATTAGAGGAGCAAGTATGAAGTCAAAGTTGAGATTTTGACTTATTGCTCGATTCTATCGTTGAACCGTGTCCTCTTTGAAAGATAGACTAAAATATTTTTGTGAAATGAAGTCTACTGTTCTAAAGAAAATTGCACAATGAACCTTGTAAAAAGCAGTTAGAGTCTCGTGTGACGAAAAATGAAAGAGATAATCTTGAAAAACTGAGACTGTAATTCATTTTGAGCCGTTCGTTTCTCCATCAACAATGGTTTTAGGATGAGTTCATAAAAGAAAGAAATCCTTGAAAAGGGTTTTAGAATTTACAACCAGTTATGAACCCAAAAAGGCTTTAAGATAATGATAAACGATGTAATATACCCTTAAAAATGGTTTCAGAGGAAACGCCAAGACGTATTTGGAAGGGTTTTTGAAAGGGTGTGGGAGGGGAAAATAAGGAAATAAGGTGGGACGGGATGTATTTCAAGAAAAACTCAAAGATATCTTTGAACCAATTAAATATTCGTAATTTTTCGTTTTCGTCTCTCCTTTCTTCGTCGGATATTTTTAGATCGAATTCCACAGAATAAAGGTCGTCTTGATGCATCAAAAATCGACTATCTTTTCTTTACTCGGACGGATATAATGGTCAAACAATATATGAATGTGCTCGATATGACTGGAACGAAAGTCGAAGCCATTGATCATCAATTAATGCGACGAGTATTACGTGATACATTAGAAACTATCTACTGTCTTAAACGTGAAATGATCTTTTTTTGTCGTTCGATTGACAGTTTTAAGGAAGGTCATTTTGACAAATTGAATTGGATTGTTCTACTCTTCCTGTTTATACGAACAACTTTTTATTTATTCAGACGTTTCGGTAGTCATCCGACCACTTTCATCAGTGCAGATCTTACAACAACAAATATAACTTTAATTCTTATTCTTTTATATTTCGAACGTCATAACCTTACGGTAAGGGTTCTTTTTCTTTTCTTTTCTTTCTAATACTGGTGCGGAGCAAGACGATGACAAATAGTTGTTGTTTCTTGCCCAGTTTACCATCTTGATATTGTATCAGTATTAGAAGAAAAAGAAAAGAAAAGAAAAGAAAAAGAGTCCTTACCGTAAGGTTATGATGTTCGAAATACAAAAGAATAAGAATTAAAGTTATTTGTTGTTGTGAGATCTGCACTGACAAAGGTGGTCGGATGACTACCAAATCATCTGAATAAATAAAAAGTTGTTCGTATAAACAGAAAGAGTACAACAATCCAATTCAATTTGTCGCTCGATCTCACCATTGAAAGAAATTATCAATAAGTTACAAACAAAAAGAAGAAACAGAGATTATGCGAGAAAGTACAAATATTTATTTGAAAGATCTTGTCGAACATATCCTTCGAGTAAATGATACTATTGATACTTATCGAAAGATGTTAGCATCATTCATTGATTTCTATATGATGTTAAATTCCAATATGATGAATGCAGTTGTGAAAACATTGACAATTATCTGGACTATATTTATTCCCTTGACATTTATTGCTGGAGTCTATGGAATGAATTTTGAGATTATGCCAGAAATTCATTGGAAATATGGATATTTTAGTGCTCTCATCGGCATGGCTCTACTAATATTAATTATGCTCTGTTGTTTTAAACAAAAAAAATGGTTTTAAATTTCGAGTAAAACGACAAATCATTTTCTACTTGTTCTACGGTCTCGTTTCTATCGAAATTCGAATACGGCAGTTATCGAGTAAAACACATCACCATATTCATGCTAGATAGATTCGATATCTCCTTCCACATGCTTCTGTCTCTCTTGTTGTACACATTAACTACACAACCCCGTTATTTTTCTTTTTTCTATACTATTTTACATCGGTTTCTCTATCATCTAGTATTCTTTTATGATTCTTCTAATTATATCCTTGCCTTCGTTCTAGTTATGGATATATCTAGAGGAAAAAAAGAAAAAGAATTTTGCGTCAATCGATCTAAGACATTCAGTTGAAACTTATCATGACTGACCGTCGTATTGTTACTGTTGTTGGAGCAACTGGCGCTCAAGGAGGTGCAGTTGTTCGATCGCTGATTGAAACAGGAAAATATAAGGTAATCAAGGATTGTTGATGTTTCAATGACAATCATTTTTTGTGCTTATGTAAAGATTCGTGCTTTAACACGTGATCCAAGCAGTGAGAAATCTCAAGCAGTAAAACGTTTGAGTGATGATATTGACATGGTGATGTATGATATCAATAGGAGTGATGATGTTCAACGTGCATTCAAAGATTCTTGGGCTATCTATGCAGTGACGGATTCCTGGGAACACCCCGATCAACTTAAACTTGAAATGCAACAAGGTAGAAGAATGGCTGATATTGCCGCTTCACTCAATCCAATACCTTATTTTATCTTCAGTGCACTTGAAGATGTGAATAAATTGAGGGGAGAAAGATAGTAAGTAGCTTGCGTTATATCCTTATTGATTTGCTGTCACGTCTAATTTCTCAGTAAGGTACCACATTTCTCACAGAAATCGAGATTACGCGATTATATCAAACGACAACATCCGGATTTAAAAGCGATTTTTGTGGAACCTGGTTTCTATATGCAAAATTGGCAAACACTTTTCAAACCAACTAAATCCGATGATGGTACACTGGTGTTTACTGCTCCCATTGATTCCCAAACGAAATTACATTTATTAGACATCGAAGACATAGGTACTGTAGTTCGTGAAATTCTCACTAATCCAGAAACATTCATCGGTCAAGATATTTGCATTTGCGGTGACGCTATTCGTTTTGCGGATATCTCAAAAGTCTTTACCAAGGTCACTGGAAAAGCAGCGATATCAAAAACAATCAATGAAGAAGAATTTCGATCGGTATTATATCAAATGCCGACAGTCGCTCAAGATGATCTGGCTGACAGTTACGAATGGTTTGAAGAATATAGTAATTATGGTAAAGACAAGGATTGGACAACAGGACAAAAGCTATGGAAATTAAAAACCTTCGAAGATTGGCTCAAACAGACCGGATGGCAAGGTGATTAGATATCGTTCACAACAAGATCATCTCAAAGAAACACCTTTTCGACAATCAATTATTTCTTTTTCGAAATAAATAACAAAACCCACGAGAAACGATGATCTAGAAGGAAAATCCATTCTAAGCTTAATTTTTTATTTGTTCGCCTATTTGTCATTGAATGAAAAACTCTAACATTGTTATTTCATCATTTAAATTTCATCATTTTTTGTATCAATAAGTTGATTATGTAATTGAAATATTGCTTTCAACATTAAATTATACGAGATAACAACAATATTCCGTTCACATTGATTGATTAGCCATTGAAGAATCTCTTTCGTTCGTTCTTCAATTCTATTCGGTAAAAAGAAGCTTTCAGAATAGAGTTTATCACGCCATTGAATATCACCAAATGTTTATTCGAATGTACCTAATTCCTTGATTAATAATGGAAATATTCGTCTTAAATCAACAATCGGTCTTCCAGTATCGCATAGTTCACTGAAAACTTCTTGTAGATCAGTATGATGTCGAATAGTGATACATAAACGAATGTATTCATTTAGTAGAATAGTCGATTTACTCTCGTGTTTTTCGTCGTTACATTGACAATAAAGTTTGCCTGTATCTGGGACATACCGATTAATTTGACTATTGAACTCGACTAAAGTTAAGATTTGATCAGCCACAAGCCATTGAGGAAGAGAAATATTCAAAACTAAAGTAATATATGTACCTTCACCTGCATTTTTTAATGTCAAAATTTGTCTCAAATTATTGCCCATTAATTCTACTAATTTTTTTTCAGAGTCAATCTTCACCTCAAAAACTTGGTTTTAGGGAGAATAGTCAGCAAAAACAGTGTGCCAATAAGAAGAACACAGCTCAATTAGGTACGAAGTTGGTTAAGTACTATCTCTCATTAATCATGTAACAAGGATTTATCATTGTCCCTGACTTCTAAAAAGATAAAAGACAAACTTGCGTCATTCTCAACTATTCTCTTGTAATCGGTTGTCTTCTTCTTTCCTTCTGTTCGGTCGAGATGATTGTGATAACATCGATATATCCATTCTCTTTCCTAATTAGTCTTCCTGTTATTCGGATATTCCTCTCCTTTTTTCCTCCTCTCCTTCTTTCTTCTTCTTTGCTTTTCTTTCTATCATTCTCTCTCTTGTTTGCGTATATAAGCGTGTGTTTTGTCGTATACAGGAATTACTGCCGTGGGATTTACTGCCGTAAACAATCTTTATAAGGCGCGCTTTGATTACATGCAACTCTTAAAAAGACTATAATTAACTCCGAGTCATCTCACTAAAAACTATATTCATTCATCAACTTAAAATAAAATAATCATGTCATATATTTATTTATTTCACTTCCCACCCCGCCCCCGCCCTGCTCTTGATACGTGAGTAAACTATTCGCAAACCGCAATTATGTCAAATACTTATTGAATTTTTTTTAGTTTCAATGTGAAAATTTTATAGTAAAAATAGAAATTGATATCATTATTTTTATAGAATATTATATTCTTTTTAAGGAATGGGTTTTTATATTCGAGTATTGAATTATTTCTTAGCATTAATTGACCAGAAAAGAGATGAAACTAGATGGCATCTCGACAAAATTGAGAGTGTGAATTAAGGTGGGAAGCGATGTGAAGTGTGTATTGTAGCATCTGGAATGATTTATACCTTATAAAAATCAACAGTATCAGCAATAAATCAAAAATTCATAATAATAGAAAAATATTTAGAAATAATATTCATATATTATTTAATAAATTTCTTAGATGAAGTTTATGAGCAGAATTATTGGAAAGTAATTGATAGATTTCCAAATTCGTGATAAATAACAAAAGAATGAATCAAATATTTAAAAAAAACGATCATACATATTTTTTTTTTAAAATAAAGAAATAAAATTGATGAATCGAAATAAAATGCAGAAGCATATATTGAATGATAGACATCTAATTCTATTGCTGTACGATTATTTTCATCTGATGATATCAATGTATTTAGTGTATTAAGACAAAATCTAATATTGGACAATAATTATCATTGAAACAGCAATCACTTCAATAATGTTATTAATGTTGAAGATTATAAATACTAAAATAAGGGAATCGATTGTAAACAGTTATGTATTAGTAGTTAATACTGTTCGATATGGATAGAAAACATCGTAACACCGATTTACTGCGGTAAACAATTATAGATTTTCAATCGTAAACACTAATTATACAGCGCCATCTTATACGTTCACTAGTTTTTCATGAGACAGCTGAATTTTTATTCGGTATTATCGCATCAAATGTTTTGATGGCACAGAAAGTCATTTGATCCATTCTTACCGTGTCAACGATAATAAATCTTCTGTTATTTTATTCAGTGATAGTATATTTATATAACGGGTTACCCACGTGAAATATCTTTTGACAGAATACCATTTATATCTTGTGAAACAAGAACAATTATCTAAAATACATTTGTATACATCAGAAAGTACCATCACATGTGTCTCTAAAAAGATTGAAAAACAGTTCCAGTTACGTTAATAATCAAGTCTTGTCGGTCCTCGCATCATTTTTTTAATTCACACGGCGTAATCGATAATACATACACGGAATACTGAATTCGTCTCTTTTCAATGATAGATGGGTATCAACGACCTGTTGGATTTTTGTCATGTTCTTTTGCATAAACTCCATGACGAATAGTACGCAAGGTCGTATATATGCTGTTAGGACATCTCAAAACAATTAACTAACCAGTAGGAGAATGTTCTTGGTCTGTATGTGATGCATTAGGGCGAACCAATAGTATGTGTTGCTACATGGCATAGACAATAAATTTCGGATTTATAATTTTTAATAAAGCTGATTGCTTCTGTTTTTCAATCTTTTTAGAGACACGTGTGATGGTACTTTTTGATGTATACAAACGTATTTTAGATAATTGTTCTTGTTTCACAAAATATAAATGGTATTTCATCAAAAGATATTTTACGTCCCCTTCAATATTATCGGATATTTTACTATCAGACAGTGATTTATCCAAACTAATAATATTATAATAACATGTACCATGCATGCAAGATAGACTGGTATGAAAATCATCCGATCTCGATAAGTCACTCATGAAGAAAAACTCGATGTAAATCGTTTCAAAATCAACTGAACGACCTGCATTGTAAAGCATGCGAACGTCCTGTATATCTAACGTTCAATAGCTTAACCCTTTGAGGATGTTGGTACATACCTATGCACCACTTGTTTTTTCAGTAGAGAAAAAAATCTTTCGTTCACATCAAGGTGTTAGACTTGCGAGAGTCTACGTTGACTCATCTGTCATCTAATGCATATCTTTTCTTTCTTTCATTCTTTTCTATAGAGTTTTCGCAGACGTCCTCTTTTCTTTTTGATGCTGTACGGTGAAGGTGCGAGATGGATCTTCTCACGACTCATGGCAACATACGCACATATCCGTACCCTCAAGTAACTGTGAAGATAATGAGCTTGTTATGGTCTTTTGACTATTGAGAAATGGCCAATTTATTACCGTTAACTGTCCAAAAGCAAAAAAACACAACAATCAGTTTTCACGTGGAGTTGGGCGTTCAACCAAAGAATATCCTGTTACAATTGTGATCCTAAGCCTAAGAGAAACTGACATCGGCTTTTTATTTACTTCTTTAATACATCTAATTCCAATTCTTATGTGTGCTACAATCAATTAGTTATGCTAAATTACCATAATTGAGTTACATGGTTTCAGTAGCTAACACTCTTTGCTCTGATGTTGAACAAATGAATATTGGATGACCCTCTGAGAAGAAGTCTGAAGTAGCATCGCCACAATCTATTCTTCATTCTCATAATAAAATGAGTTTGCTTGTTAAAGGAATGCGAAGAAGATGTGCATACTATAGCACAGACGGACTACAAGTTAGATCAAACATCGAGTGTGACAGTTGCAAATTAGGACTTTGTTTAAAAGATGAAAGACATTGTTTTTTCGATTATCTTAATGCGTTTATGTAATTATCTTCAACCAAACACAAAAAATTGCTCGAAGAAACATTTTTTTATTGAAAAAACTCCGTTCTCAGAGGGTTAATGGTAAGAGGTTGCATCTCATGAAGTCAAGGTTTTCTATTTTCTACATGAGTAGATTTGCCAAAAGTGTATGAATATGTTGTTTGTCTATTGAAGGTTCTGATAATTCGAAACTGTGGCATGGTGGCGTGCGGTGAAACAATTGAAGAAACGTGGCATTATGCATTTCATATCATTCTAGCATGTGAGACGCAAGTACGAGCAATACCAATGGGTATTGATAATCTAATTCTAATTTCGAAGGATGCATCTAGCCAAGTATGAATAAATTTGGGAAAAAATAATAGGAGGAATTCTTTTTTCATATGTCAGGTAGAGAAAACAGTGAAAGTAGGTGGTGGTGGTGTATCAACCAGTGATACGAAATGGACTGTTGGCGAACTCGAGTGGTCTGCACTTATGCACGTTTTGGATGAAGTGGTTTGTATCTGAAACCATTAACTGGCCTTTCTTTATTTTGTGTGTTTTAGGGTTATAATACTGCATACAATTATCGTGGGTGCTTCTTACACTTAACTAGTAAATATCGACAGCAGTCTGCATAGTTCCATTGGTTATTGCTTGGTACTTGTATTCCACATTCATTTTGTAGAACTCATTTTGAGACAGCAAGCGTTAGCTTTAGAGAGAACTCTTCACCTTTCCTATAGATGCGGTTTTTGTCAATGTGCTTCTGTCTGTATTTAATAGTTACGAGCTTGGCCTTGTACATATTTCATGACAGTTTTTTCTAAACTCTTTTTCTTGGACACTTCCAATAGTAGGTTTGAGCTTTGGTCTTAAGTAACGTTTAGCTAAGTATTCTTGAACTTGAAAGATTGGTTATTTTTTTATTCATACTTTCACTCTATCATTTTTTGTTCATTATTATAATCAAATCAGAATGTGAGTTGTAGATGTTGGAGACATATACGCTCGACAAATAGGCTTTAACTTAGGAATTCTGTCATATAGCACCCTGTTTTTCAAGTGCTTTTTTATATTTTTCTACGCTTCCCTTACTTAAGGAGACCCTCCTTTCCCGACCCAAAATTTTCAGTTTTTTCCGTTGTTCATTTTCTATGCTTGGTATGTAGATTTAAATGCCATCTATCTAATAAGCATATTTGTAGAAGACAAAACGACCTGTTTGTATGTAAAAACCTCGAAAAAGAAACTGAATTTTATGCTACATAAGCCAAAAAGTTCAAATTTTTTTTTGCACTTTTCTCAAAATCAGATATTCAAACGAAAAATTGAATTTTTCTTCTCTTTTCTCCTAGATGATGCGTCCGATTGAGATCAAACTTTTTTAATAAGTACTTCAATCAAATTGGGGTGCGTGTTTCTTTTCTCTTGAAAATATTGTACCTATTAAGTTTTACAGATTTTACAAAATTAGCACCATCCGAAAACAAGCTGTTTTTTATAGATTTTTGATAGTACCGCCAATCTTTAGCTTCTCCTGACCTTCAAGAACAATATTTTTCAAAGACAAAGCATGCACCCAAATTTTTTCCTAGTTGCGAGAGAAAAAATTTCAGCCCTAAAAAACGTAGTGTGGCTGTTTGCAGGGAGGGGACACTTCAGGTAATTTTTGGTCCTTGATCTTCCAGAAGAAAGCGTCTGAGAATTTTCAGCCTATGGCAACTTTTATTCTACTCATCGAGATCTATCTACTCT